ACTTCAACTCCCAGAATTCACCAGCCAGCCTTGCAAGGCTGGCTGGGGAATTCTGGGAGTTGAAGTCCACACATCTTCAAGCGGCCAAGCTTGAAAAACACTGCTTTACACAGATCTATTTCAGCGATTAAACTCAGCACACAGGCACACACACATGTACACCATATCTGTCATCAGATGAAAGCAATCTTATCTGAATAACTGAACATCGAAATCTGCGGATAAATAAAATGGTGCTATTGAATTAAAAGCAAGGAAATGCAGTTCTTAGCTGATACATTTGCAAATTATGCCTCTTTATCGCCCTTTTCTAGGTTCTTCCTCACCAATCTTGCTCTCTCTGTTGAAAACCGATCTCATGTTCCAGAGATGGGGAAAGCTTGTAAAAATCAATCCACAACACCTTTGTACTGCAAAGAATTGAACGTGCCCCGTCTCCTCTCTTGATGCAAGATGATTAAGACCTGTCCTATTGAGCGCTGAATCCACGGACTAAGATCATCACATTGATGAAAATTCCCCTTCCATTTCTGCTTTCTCTTGTCTCTTAGGGGCAAAAGCACACATCACGTTGGCTCTTAATAGCTGTGTTCATATAACCATTTTTTTTCCTGAAGCTTCGAGGAGTTTTCTTTTTCTTACTTTCTAATCTAACCGGAGATTCCAAGTGGTCTCCCATCCACAGAGGTACTAACTGACTCTGCTGCCCCCTGGTAAGACTATGGATTACTAGTTTTCTTAGCAAGAAGTGGTTCTGTTCTGCCTCTTTCTGGGAAGTTTCTCTTATTTTCTAGCCACACTGAGAGGGCTGGAATTTCCTTCAGGTCTCCCATTCAAGTCCTAACCAGGCCTGATCCTGCTTAGCTTTTAGAACGAGCCAAAGTCCACCATGGTGTGGCCTTGTAGAATACAGCAGACCATGAACTAACCAAGCAGGCAAATGAAGACAACCCCTCTAAAAAAAATCTAACCAGGTTTATAATAACCAAGGTTAGCATGTGGCCCAAACTCATCTGCTGAGCCTACAAGGGGTTGTGAGAACACAACCATTTAAAAAAAAACAGCCCCAGGGATGGGAAAGCGAGTGGAAAGTCCATCCTTGCCTAGAAGTTACGAGTTTGCACGCAGGTCTCATCTTGCAAGTAGGCAGAAGAGGGTAACCCCTCCAGGCCAGAGATGATTCGGGGGTGCTCCTGCGCAGTTCTTCATCGCGGGTCAAGATGCTCTGGTGGGATCTGTGCTGAGCAGGGGCTGGACTAGATGACCATCGGAGTCCCTTCAAGCTGAGGGCAGCAGTTCTCCCTCCCCTTTATCTTTCAGCCTCCAGGTGCTTTAAGCCTCTGCTCAGCCCCTCGGGGCAACCAACCCAAAAGAGAGAGGGGCTTGTGCGCGCCCTTCCCTCGTTCCGCTGCGCTCTTGCTTTCTATTCTGTCTTCACACGTGCACTGATGGTGGGTGCAGCGAGCAATCTTCTTTGGCCAGTCACTCTCTCAGAGTCAGGGGTTGTGCCTTCGGAGTACATATGGCCCGTGAGCGCCGCAATTGCCAAGCCATCTCGCAAAACTGCCGTGAGATTACAGAAGTTGGAGGGAATGGAGGAAATCTGCCAGTTCTGGTGTCTTTCCCAGCACAATGTCTTCCAGATGTGTTCGAGCCACATTGCCCAGAGTGCCCAGCCAGCCTGGCTGAAGGCTCCCCACATATGGAAATCACAAAGTTGGAGACAGCTGAGCTGTATTGTCATCCCCAACCGCCTGATTCCCCCCCCAGGAGAAAAGATAGCACTGCCATCAGCACATACTTGAAAGATTGCACAAACGTTGGCTGAGAGAATCAAAACACTCGAGTTATGCAGCTTTCTTGCAAGAGCGTCCTTGACAACGCCACCGCCTGGTACAAGCCTTGAGGCCCCCAATGGTCAGATACAGCCCCAAACCCAAGTCTATCCAGACCCCCTTGAACCTTGAGCCTATCTTCTGGGGTTAGCAATGCCCCACAGCTTGGTGTTGTCTGCAAATGTGCTAAGCATCCTTTCTATCCCCTTGTTGAAGTCACGCAGGAACATGTTGAAGACCACCAGGCCCAGGACAGAACCCTGAGGTTCTCCACTGCATACCTCCCTCCTTGTAGACGTAGATCCACGAAGGACCACACACTGGCAACGGTTGTCCAACCAAGGGCGAATCCTTCTGGTAGTGGGACCTTCCATTCTATTTTGTTCCATGTTATCAAGAAGGAGGCTATGATCAACTTTATCAAATAACTGACTGACATCTAGGTAAACTACGTCCACAGCGTTCCCTTGGTCTACTAATCTAGTCACATTGTCAAAAAAGCAATTCAGTTTTGTCTGACCCAACCCATTTTTAACAAACTTCCCGTAGGCATCTAGTAATCACCTCACTGCTTTCTGAGTGCCTGGTTTTCTGGATGTGTCCAATACATGGAACGGGAAACTAGCAAGGCGGGTTAGATTCGCACCATATCCTGAGCCACCTCCCAGAATGAAAAACCACATCAAGGCACGTTTAACTGTATTTACACTTAGCATGTCATGCAAATCCATCTGCTGCTGCTAGCTCAGTTAAATATGTCGTGCAAACAAAGCCAGGATCTTTTTTCTACAAAACTTCGGCAGACACCAACATCTGACGTTGCCCTCAAACCAACCATCAAACCAATCACAAAATGTAGCCAGCTCCCTGGGGCTTACTCAAGTCGTATAACTGAGACCAAATATTGTTGAGTAATTAGACGTTTCAGGGCCAGACTGACCCAGGTTTGGTTTTCATGGGAAAAAAGAGAACCCTGAAGATTTACGATCTTCTTGTAATACTTGATCTCTTTGCAATGAATCAATAGAGGGGACGTGGGGCCAAGCACAGCATAGCCACACCGTGAAAATACCATGAAAAGATTGATTCCATTCCCTGGAGAAGGGAAGAGAAGGGGAGGGGAAAGAAAGGCTGAAGACATCTAGCCCTTTTCCAGTCGCAGCCACTGAGTCTTCACCGAGTTAGTATGTCGGGGACACATAACCACGGTGTATTTACAAGCCGACATACAGCCAGAACCAATCCTCTCCTTCTAGTGCCCCGTTCTCCAAATTGTGCCCCACGAAACGTGTTAGCACTTGCAACTCCCAGTCAGCTGAAAAATCTGCGTCTTGCAATCTGAACAATTTTGGTGTGCCCCAACCTGGAGAAAAAACACCTCTTATTTATTCATCCACTAGACTTTGATCTCGCCTCTCAAGAGCTTAGCGTGGGTTAGACTGGTTACGATGTGAGGGGATGGGACCGGCTGGAAGTCAGCAGTGAGTCCGCATGGCTGAAGGCAGCCTTGAACTTGGGTCTCCCAGCTTCTGATGCAACACCTTAAAACTACGTTGCTCGGAAAATGTTGGATTTTGGCCATCAGTGTAACTGGGTTTTTGCCCAGTTTTGCATACATCACCCCAGATTTCTGTTTACCTGCGGTTCTTGATGGGAAATGGCCTAACCCAGGGTTTCTCAGCCTGAGCAGCTTTAAGACGTGTGGTGGACTTCAACTCCCAGAATTCCCCAG